TTTTTTGAGGGGTGGAGAACAATTTATTCATCACCAAAGTCCACACGAGGTGGGATACAAGAAGGGTCATGGGGATTACCAAACCATACATGGCGCCCCGGACCCTGAGAAAGAGCAAATTTAGCTAGTTTATGTGCCTCATAGTTCGCGGCACGACCCTCGAAACCAAACTTACAATTAAAAGTAGCAGCTTTGAGATTTATTTCGCTTATGATGGCGCCATACCGCCCTCTGGCCCCCTTAGAAATATCTGAAACAACTTGTTTACAGTCGGAAGCAACGATGAACTGTTGCAAATTGAGATCTTCTGCCAAGGCTAGCGCCTTCCGACATGAAATCGCTTCCAGGGCTGCCGGATTACAAACCCCGTAGATGACTAGTGCAGAACTTCCAAGGTAAAATCCTTGCTCATCCCTGCAAATAGTCGCCGCAGATCCTCCACGCTCAAATCTTACCCTAGCATCAACATGAATTTTTGCATAGCCCATTGGGGGGGCCTTGGGTCGTCTGGACCTCGGAGCCACATGCGATATAGGTCCCTGGGCAGCATGCAGCTTGCTATCACCAACAATTTCAAGGTCTGAAATAAACCTGGTTATGAACGCGTGTGTGGAGTGTGGGCTATGGAATATACCCTCATGTATTGCCTTTTGACGTGCCGACCAAATGGCCCATAAAGTCACTGCAAGCAACGTAAATTCCTTGTGTGACATGGATTCCATTAGAGTAAAAAGCCATTGTTTAGCTGATGGTTCGGAAACCTCCGTCATTCGTTGCAACACCTCACTGTCGCTGAGAGCCCAAGTGCATCTTGAAGCGGCACAATCCATGAGTGAGTGCCGCCATGAATCCGGCGTGCCACACAGCCCGCAGCTGGCTGTATCCGTCATGTGGCGATGCATGCGAACGTCATTCGTTGGTAAGGAATGTTTAGATAGGCGCCACAAGAACATCCTCACCTTGGCAGGGACACTCGTTTTCCACAGCGTTTTCCATGATTTTTCCTCTGCATTTGAACTGGAGGAGCCCGAGGTTTCATCAAGCCAAGCTTCCCTCCTCTGTTTTGTTGCTATTAGCATATGATACGCTGATTTAACAGTGAAAGACCCATGCTTATCATAATGCCAACACCAAAAGTCAGGAATATTGCGTGTGCAGAGGGGTATTCCCATAATAACTTGAGCGTCAATTGGCATAAAAATTGCCTCAACCATAGCTCTGTTCCAGGTCGTGGACGTATGGTCAATTAGCTCAGACACCATAGTTGGTGGGTGCTGTACTCGGCTGCCGTACGGGCGAATCATCTCATCCCTTGGTAGCCAGTTATCATTCCAGATGTGTATCATTCGTGGTGCCGTTTCCCACCCGTTGAATTAAGATTTGACTTAAGACGTCTCTTCCCTCGATAATAGACCTCCACACCTGGCTGGGGTGGCTCCCGAGGGTAGCATGTAGCAAGTCAGAATTTGGGAAGTATATGCTTTGTAGTATCCTTGCACTCAATGCCTCTGGATTCTGTAGCATCCTCCAAGCCTGCCTCGCAAGCATGGCAAGATTAAAAAGCTCAAAATCTTTAAAACCCAAGCCCCCCATACCTTTCGGTTGAGTCATAGTTTCCCAAGAGACCCAATGAGGTTTGCGTTTGCCCTCTTTGCTCCCCCACCAAAATTTCTGAATCAGCATGTTGAGATGTTCACACAGTCCTCTAGGCAGCTTGAAGCAAGACATAGAAAAAACTGGTACCGCCTGAGCTACGGCCTTGACCAGGACTTCTTTACCCGCCATTGATACTGTGTTTGCAATCCACCCCTGCACTTTGTCCAAAGCCTGTCCTTTAAATATTTGAAGGCCCCGTTTTTCAAGTTGCCAATGTCAGACGGCATCCCCAAATATTTCTCATTAAGTGTCTCGTTTGGGACATGAAGCAACTCTTTAATCTGCATTCTCACACTATCTGGCACTCCTTTGCTAAAAAATATTGAAGACTTTGAAAAGTTTATGCGTTGACCAGTGGCCTGACAATATAAGTTCAGAACCTGGTTTACCTCATTTGCTCCCACACTATTGGCCTTGAAAAACAGCAGGCTGTCATCGGCAAATAAAAGGTGATTCACTGGTGGCGCTGAGGGAGCTACCTGCAAACCACTTAGATTGGAATTACACAACTGAAAACTAGATTTGCGACATATTTTCAGGAGGTCCAACGCACTGATTGGATCTTGCAGGGCCTGGAAATAATAGATGGCGTTGAAACAGAGGCCCACAGGCTGGAGAGAGTGATTAGGAGGACCAACATACGGGAACCAAATTCTGAACTGGGCCATGTTTTTTTGAGACCCAACGTCACAAGCCCAGCCCACACTTGGCTCTGCGTCTTCCTCTCCATTCCTCATTCCACAATTGGGGACGCAGCCTCTCCCGAATCCCACCGCCACGGCCGCCGCTCGCCGTCCGTCCGTGTCGTCGGTGCCAGATTCCCTCTCACCTTCCGCGCCCCACACGCCTCCCCCCACCACCGCAATGGCTCAAGGTACTCACTCATCCCCCATCTCCTTCCCCTTCCCTTCCAGCGGTCCTGGCCTCAACCTGTCTGTCTGGTGTCCTCCTTCTGACCTACCGTCTTACTTCCTCTCGCAGATGGTGTACGAGGACGGCAGCCAATCCGGCCTTCCCTTCAACACGAGGTACTATCTGAATAACTCTGTGCTTTCTGTAGCCCCTATAAAATCAAATATAATCAAGTGCATTCCACAGTAAGTTTTCTGCCCCTAGCTAGTTGTAAAGAACAAGGTCAATTCAGTCTGATTTGGTTCTTATGATGTTATTATTGATGCCTTGTTCAAATCAAAAGGATGAGAATGGACTACAGTGATTTATTGCTTAATACCAAAAAAATGTGCTAATTTATGAATGTGTTAATCCCAAAGATTCTGCTAATCCGTGTATAATTTTTTTGGGGGCAATTCGGGCTATGTTGGTCTCAGCATATCCACTGAAACAGTAGTGAGATTTAACGACAGCGCGGGGGACGAGGTGGAAATTGGACTAATCATGAGTGATAATTGGGCCGTGCCTCCCCTCGTCTCGACACCTCCCCAGATCCAAGCCTCTTCCTTCCTGCACAATGCCCAGCGGCGGCCCCTGTCATGGGGGGATCAGGCCATTGGCGGGGTGTGGCCCACCGACGCGTGGGTCTTCCGGCCAGAGGTCGAGGGCAACCCCTATGGCGGAGGAGCCGAAGAAGCGCACCGCCGATCTGAAGATGAAGCTAAGTAAGTGCATCATCGCTTATCTGATTTATTTTGGTGCATTGCTTGAGTTTCTATTCCCCAACTTGTGCGGACACTGCTACTCATAGATAAGATACATGGGTTCCTTTGCGTGTGGGGGTAAACAGAGCCATGGATTCAAAGCATGATGATCTAATCAATGCACTGAAACACTCGAAGCAATTGTGTATATGATAGCACAAATTCGCATAATAACAAGACAATTCATTAGCGTACAATCCAAATAGAGTTATAATCAAATAGAATGATGGTATACACACGCAATTACTCTGTTTCCGGAGGTACATGCCGCATTACAGTTATGCTTTCCCGATGAGCTCCAGGTACTCGACATAATCAGCCTTACGAATTATTTATGAATAAATATGCTGGAAGGTAATTAAAACTCAGATCGACGGATCAATCCAAGCTGAACAGAGGAGGACATGGAGAGACACCCAGCCATGACTTGATCAGCCACACCACAACTTGTACCTGAAAGACTTCAGAAACAATGTTAATTATAGCTGTTGCTTCTCCACATACGGCTTGTTGATGTGTCCCTCTGCTGCTTGTTTCCATACTCCCACCGCATTGTCGGCAGCAGAATGGTGGAGTATCACCTCGTTGAGCTTTAACAGACGTGATATGCCAACCACTCCAAGCGGTTCCCCGGTTCCCTCGTGAGGACCTCCCTTGCAAAGCAGCTGAAGAGTGGCGAGAGGGGTCTTGACTCCTTGGTCGATCAGCACAGGCGGATGCTTTGAGTTTGGGCCTGAGGCCTCAAAGCACAGCCAGATGAGGCTTTTGAACCCACCAGCTTCCACACGAAAGATGCTGTTCCATAGTTTGTTCCGATCCTCTGAGAGCTTGAGATATTGCAGGCATTGCAAGTGCTGCAGGGCTCCCAGTTGTTCACTTCTGAGACCAGTTGAGAAGAGGTGCAGTTTCTGGAGATCACGTACCTGTTGTAACTCCTCAATCCTTGGAATACTTCCCGATCCTTTCCGTAGTTTGATGGAACCAATATTACCAAACGTCCTGAGAAAACCAAGGAAGCTATTGGGGACACCATTGAAATCAATGGACACAGACTCGAGATGCATACATTTGATAGGACGCTTCTTAATAGTGGATTCCAGGTTCTCCGCCAGTTTGCTACGAGCTCTCTGGCGTACCACAGTTTGCCAAAAGTCCTGAGATTCCAGGTTTAGAGTGTGATTGTACCACAGTTTAACCTTCTTCAGCTCTCTGGCATGTTGTACAACAAGCAGAACAATCTCTAAATCTTTTGTCTTGTCGACAGATATTGCACCAAGAGTGTGCAGCTGACTGTCCTTTTCTGAAAAGAACTTGGTAAGCTTCTTCATATTTTTACTGTCCACGTTAGTTAGCTCATACTTGCCAAATAGGTAAGCAAACCGTGGCAGCATGATGACTTCCACGGGAAATTTTTTCACCCCTGTATCCCGAGTGTCCAGTGTCTCTAAAAACTTGAGTTCCTTCACATTATCTGGAAGCTCCTGGATGTTGGTATTTCTGAGGCTTAGATACTTGAGAAACAGCAACCCGCTTATCTTATCCAGATCCTCCCGTGTAAGCTGATTGCAACCTTGGAGCTTCAAGACTCTCACAAGCTTGCATTCCTCGAAATCTACAATTCCACTCTTGAAGATGGCTAATGACCGGAGAACAGACAGATCCATTTTCTCTGGATGTCCACTGCGTACATCAGGGCTGGACTGGGCGGACTTTGCCAGTTTTACTACGCAGAGCCTTCTCCTCGTGAATCAGACTCACAAAGTTTCTGGACACAGCCTTCTTGATGGTAAACTCCAGCATTATACTATGCACTCGGCACCTCTTAGCAACATTGGTATAGTTGCGAACCGGAATAGGCTCAATCATACTATGGTCCATTAATTTTCTCAAACACTCACGGACATCTCCAACAACCGACTCTGAATCTTTTATTACATCATCGTCCCTGGGAACCAATCCTTCAGCTATTAATCTTCTGACGAGACTCTTGGTGGTTGTCTGATGGCCATGGGAAAATATGCTTACATAAAGTAAGCACTCTTTCTCACCATGTTTGAGCTTCTCGTAGGGTTCGACAAGCGCCTTTCTCATTTGTGCAAATGCTGAGAAATCCTCAGAGGTGGTCTCACAACATGCCAGACAATCGCGAAGTTCTTGGCTCACTTGCTTAAAATTTTCGACTGTTGGATTTGGTCCTTTCTCTCTCAAATATTTAGCTGCGCTGATCAACGCCATCGGCAAGCCATCACATTTGTTGATGATGATATCAACATTATCATTGTTGCACAAGCCAGCTTCATCTTCCGCTGAGTAGCCATCATCTTGCCAGAACTTTGCCCAAAATAGTCTTCTTGAATTTTCCATGTCAAGTCCTTTCACTGTGTACATATAACTGCCTGAGCTGCGTGCCCTGGCGACAGAAGGAACACTTGTGGTCACAATGATTCTGCTGTCCATGACATTTTCACGGAATGCATTACTTATGTCCTTCCATGATGTCACTCGCTGCACATCATCGACAAAGACCAGGTACCTAACAATATTGAGAATAGACATTTTATAAGAACTAACATAGTGGCTGCATGTAGGCGCAGGAAACGCCCTTAAAATTATCTGTTTATTTTCTTGATTGAAATATGATTACTTTGTATTCATATTTTTACTACTTTGCGTTATGATTATATATAGTATTATATTACCGTTATTACCATATAAATATAAGAGAAAAGTATATTTTTCGTCCCTCAACTTTTGGCGAAGTCTAGATTTAGTCCCTCAACTTGAAAACCGGACAACTTGCACCCCCAACTTTTAAAACCGGATAAATTTAGTCCCTTGTCTCGGTTGACCTGGTATCACTGCTGACTCAGCGCGGTTTTTGACCAGTCTTCATCCATGTGGGGCGGTACATTTCAACTTTAAAGGTCTTTATTACTTGAGTATAGATATATAATTTTTTCTCTAATCATTGTATATATGTTAATCTTCAATATTAATCAACATTGTCTTAATATATGTTGTTTATATGCGTTTTGGAGCCGGGCTGAGGTGAGCCGGGGCTCCAGCGAGCCTTTTTATTTGTAAAATTCAAAAGAATATTTTTAACCATCAAAATTTTCTGAAAGCCATTCCATGCGTATATATAGATGTATTCGACATATGTGTACATTTTCATTAGGAGGTACTACCTCCGTCTCAAAATATAAGACGTTTTTGTGTGCTAAGCAGTGCTAAACTACATGTGAATTTTCTTTCAAAATTTGTGAAATACTTTTAAATATGTGTTTCACTCTTTTGAATTTCAGGCTCACTTCAGCCCAATCTGCATATCCATGCATGACTCAGACCGTCTTTCTCTTGTTCCAAATTTTTATTTATTTACTCCAAAATATATAAGTTGATAATATACGAAGCTTATACGAAATCTGAAGTTAAACAGTAATGAAATCGGGAATGAAACAATAATGAAAACATGTAAAAAGAAATGTAATGAAACAATAATGAAAACATGTAAAATTTCGATGATACACATGAAACTGTAATGAAAACATTAACAAAAATATTTTTAGAATTGAGACCACCATGAAAGTTAATAAAGAAAATAATATGAAAACTTATTTAAAACTCCAAATTAGTGGAACATAAATGAAATTCAAATGGGAAAATTCAAAATGGTAAATTAGTTCCATAATTTGAATTAAAACAAAAAAAAATGTGTCCAGGATTGATCTTGGTTTGAAGATTTAAACACGGTGAACACCAACATCTAAACAGATCACAAATTGGATCTTTGGTTGAGAAGATGAAAATGATACAAGCTTTAGAATCAAACTAAAGAGGGTGGGTGGGTGTGTAGCGAAACTTCTTGTTGACTTCAGACATACCTACTACTCACTTAGCTGGCCCAAACGATATATAGTGGGTGAACAAGTGTAGGATATATATGGTATCAAAGTTAATGGTTTTATATGTGACACATCCAAAAGGCAAAGAATGAGGGATTCTTGTCCTGTAGAAAACTGGTTACCAATTCAAAAATTAAATAAAAAGAATCGTCAGAATTTCATTCATATTGAACAGAGTTATGTACTTCGATTCAGTGTGATTTGTAGGCTGGAATCACTTATAATTTTTATTTTTGGAATCTTTGAATCAATACCACGATTTTTTGCAAGAGATAAGACTACGCAGTCTAAACTCATGATTTTCAAGTTATGCTAACATTCCCTCCCCCAGTATTTTCTACAAGCTGCAGAATATGAGAGAGGATATGATTTTGGGGAGAGAAAGAGAGAGAGAAGAGAGAGAGAAAGACCTTTTGTTCTTCTGGAAGTGGTCTGAATCATCTTCAGAGTTACTTCCAAGTGTTGATGTCGGTCTAACTTGCTGGCGAATCTTGCTTAGAATGTCCGCAGGGTTGTGGTCAGATGCCACAACCCATGCCTTGTAATGGAAATTCTTGGTGACAGCATCGTCTTGATAGAGCGCCCTTGCGAGGGCAGTCTTTCCGGAGCCGCTGCATCCCACAATGGAGATGACGCTTAATCTCCCTCGATGGGGCTCAATGCCTAGGGAGAGCAGCTTTTGAATCTCCAGTTTGGGACCCTCAATGCCCACGAGATCTAGCTCTTGAGCACAAGAAACAGGGGATCCAGCTGACGAAGATGAGCCGGCTGGTGTTGAAGCTCCTGCGATCGGCACTGGTTCAAATCCCTTTGGCAGCTCATCTTTGAGATTCTTGATGCGTTCCTTGAAATCTCCGATGCGATCAATAAGCAGAGCACGAGAGTCCCACCCGGTCGCTGCGAGGACGAAGGAGCTACATGGTCCGGGAACCCAGAGACCTTGCACGAAGTCATCGATATCATAAGCCAGCTCCTGCAGCTGCAATTGCATTCCCGGTGTCAGCTGCAGCTTCTGCTTCTCTTTTTCCAAGCGCAGATCCATTATGATATCGAAATCAGCCTTCATGGATTTGAGGCCCCCGGTGAGGTCGCGGGCGCGCTTCTTGTGTTTCTCTATAAGGTTAACCAGCTTGTTGATGCACCCCGCTACACTCCCGACGGTGCGGACGACCTCCATTGCTCTGCGTCTCCCCTACCTACCTCTCAGAGCCTCACATGGAAATGACTTGCTTCAAGCGTACAGTATGTACTACTGTACATCCACTACTAGAGGGGATCGGCATACGTATATATAAACACTATGATAATAGTGCGCCAATCACAACCTAACCAGTTGGAGAGTTGTTTTTTGGGTGGTGGGGCTATCGGTACAACTTCATTTGAAGAAGAAAAGAATTCATTCGCATGTGCACGATGACGCCACAATTTATTGTACTGTCTTAACACGAGAGCAGCAGCAGCACAGCATATGTTAAGCTAGTCCTTGTATGTTACTCTTCAATAAATGAGGGACTGTGCTGGAGGTTTTTCACCCAGGAATCTAAAGTACCTGCACATAAATATATCATGCACTCTAGATCATCTTAGAAAGGGTTGTTGATCATATTCTTGCCAGGTCCACCGCTACGCTTCGTTAAACATTTTCTAATAAGCCCCCAATAATACAGCTCGCACATGTGGACAGCAAAGAATAATCCGGTATGAAGCTTCGTCACCACACGCAATCAACTTATGTGAAATTTCACTCTGGGGATTCCTTCATTATACACATGGAAGCAACCCACAGAGCCACGGAAACAAACACTCGGAAAGAGAAAGAAAGCGAGAGAGATCTGGAGGTCTAGATCATGGAGGGTCTTCCTTTGGTGTGCTATTCGAGTGGGACAATGAGTTCCCTTCTCGACAAGCTCACCAAACTGAAGAACAATCATTCCAATCCATCGGATGAATTTTCCGTTCTGACTGAAAAGTTGAAGGAAGATCTGCTGGGCCTTAAGGAGTTCTGCGACAAGCTGGGCACATCCAAAGTGTGTATGAAGCAACTCCGGGAGCTGGTCTTCGAGATCGAAGACTGGATCGATCAAAGGCCGGAGACCAACATTCTGTTGGACACAGAAGAAATCAAATACTTCATGTCTGAGATCAAGGGAGCGCGTGAGCGCTTCAAATGGTACCGAAGTCTTCTCAAGATAGAGTCCAGTGAGACCGATCTTGCTGTTGTTGCACCCAGCAAAATCACCATTGACCCTCGTCTGCTTAGCGAGGAGAAATATTGTCATGGTATTCTTGATGGTCCAAGGGATGAGCTTGTCAAGCATCTGACAGATCAGACGGAGGAGATGCTAAAGGTGGTATCCGTCGTCGGAGTGGAAGGCCTTGGTAAGACTACTCTTGCCAAGGAGATCTATTCAAAGCTTCAACTTCGTCGGCTGTTCGAATGCCAAGCTATGGTCTCTCTCGGCAGGAGGCCTGCCATGAGGGATGTACTATATCATATACTCCATCAAGTAAATCGTTTCAGTAAGACATTACATAGAGTTGCAGATGTGCAGGAAATTATTACTGAGCTCCGGGAATACCTCGGCGGGAAGAGGTATTTGCAATTACATTTATTGTACAGTGTAACCCTTGTAAGTGCATTGCATGGTGCTCCAATGGCACAATACTAGAAAAATATTATATTAGAAAACCCAGTTATTATGTTCTTATTTCGTTCTTATATTAAGTTTCCTATGTGTGATTTGATAGTTTTTCTGGGAGATAATATATGATACTTACTGTGCAATTTTATCGGAAGAGTTATCTTGAGGTGAATACTAGTTTAAACTTCAAAGGAGAAATAAATTGCATAAGGGATGGCAATTTTCCGGTTCAAGCACTTACTAGACATAATATGCAATCCTGTCTGATAGGCAGACAATTTTTACCCAGTTAATTCACCGTGAGCAGGTGTGACCTAAAAAAGAAATAAGGATTTCAGTACTCCAGCTAATTGGCAATTTGCGAAACACAGTACTGATGCAATCAATCGCATACACATACATACACTCATTTCTATGAACGCATGAACACACAAGTTATCCCCATGAGCACCTCTACACCTCTACGCACTGTCACGGGCATGTTGCTTGCCACTGAAACATTAAAGCCGTTAAATTCTGAAGTAAATTCAGAAAAGTATGAACACAGACACCAAGCCTAAGTCTTGAACCTGGGTGGACAAGTTCCATCATAAGAACCTAACCAACTAAAATACGATCAACAAACAATGTTAGTATGTTGGCAATGACTAGGGGCAAAAGTATGAATAATTAGCTCAAGACCGTCGTAAAATAGAAGTCATTTTCTAGAACACGCATATGAATATCTCAGAAACATACCTGGTAGAGATAATTAAGTATTACGTGCATTTTTTGATTGGATACAAAATTACAAATCATGATGAGTATACACCTGGTCTCTGCATGACTAGAATACACGCAACCAATACAAACTCACACACATATGGGTAAATATAAAAAGTGCTGGCAACAGCAAAGTCATAGCGGACCAAAGCCATGCCTAAGGTGAGGAGGGCGGGGGCTATCCATATACTATGCTATCACCCATGTGGGTTAAACATCCATGGTCACCTGCTCAAATCACATACACAACTATAGTCAGCGATTGGTGCTCCAGCCGATGTAGGCTAGATCACAAATGGAGGCAACATGTACACTGATAAATAACCTGCATGGGAGATGAAAGTTTGACCACTAAAAATCATGCCATTTCTACATAGCCATAGCGGGCATAATAAAGCAGATCCTCCCACCTTATAAGCCCACTAAAGTTGTGTGCTAGTGCTAGCTTCTATGTACGATCCGGTTTTAAGAATTCAAAATTGGGTCTTGCCTCTAATTTCTCTTGCTGCTAAATTGGTTCTAGATGAGAATTTGCTACGTACTATGTTGGTTGGTAACTGTTGTTACAAAATCATTGTAACTGTCTTTTTGGCTTTATGTTCCAGTTTATTCATTTTAGTATTTTCAAAACATCATGTACTTTGAATTGATTGTAGTAGTCGATGACACTTATTCTATTTGCCAGGTACTTCATCATAGTCGATGACATACGGAGTACATTCGATTGGAAAGTTATCAATAGTGCTTTGCCATACAACCGTGGAAGTAGGGTTTTGACGACAACTTGCAACGCAGATGTAGGCAAATCCTGTTCTATCTATCCAACTGATCTTGTCTACCACATGGATGTACTTAGCGAGAAGAACTCCAAAATCTTTCTTCTCAATAGAATAATAACTCTTCAAGAGGAAGAAAGAGGTGCTGAATTTGAAGAAGTTTCTGGTAACATGTTGAATCTATGTGGTGGCATGCCACTGGCCATTATTGTTGCAGCCAGCTTATTAGTCAGAAAATCCAAAGAACTGGCAGAGCTGAAGATCTTTGGGGAATCTATTTATTCAACATTGAGGCAATATTCTACCTCCAAAGGGATGACAATGATATTGCACAAGAGTTATGCTGATCTATCTCTTCCTTTGAGATCTTGCTTTCTGTACCTAGGTGTTTTTCCGGAAGGCTATATTATAAAAAAAGATCGTTTGATAAGGTTATGGGAAGCAGAAGGATTTATTTCCAGGACCAATAAAGAATACTTGTGGGTAACAGGGGAGACGTACTTCAACGAACTTATTAGTAGAAGGCTGATTGAGCCACTTTTTGGATTTGAGGATGACCAGGCATCTGGTTGTATCATTCATGGTGTCATTCTTGATTTCATAAGATCCTTGTGGAAAGAAGAGAACTTTGCTACCACGGCTGTAGAAATGAGCTCTGGTCCATTTCCATGTGACACGATTCGGCGGTTCTCGGTCGACTATGGCAACAAAGATGAAGCTAACACCTTCTCCAGAAGCACCGTTCACCTTTCAAGCATGCGATCTCTAACTGTTTTCGGGGACGTTGAAGGGATGTTTGATCCTCTGTTCCCCTCAGATTCCGAGGATAATGAACAAACTGAAGTTGCTCCAGTGTATATTCTGTGGTCCTTCAAACTTTTGCGGGTACTTGACCTAGAAGATAGGAAGGAGTTGAAAGGTCACCAGCTGAAAGGCATTGGTGGATTGGTCCTACTGAGATACTTGGGACTCGCAGGGACTCATATCAGCTGGTTACCAGAAGAGATCGGAGAATTGGAGCAGCTGGAGACCCTAGATTTGAGGCGGAACTGGTACTTTGGGACTTTGCCTAAATCTATATTTAAATTGCAAAAGCTGAAGCATGTGCTACTCAACGTAAATGTGCAGAAAAGTTTTATGATGCAGGAATTAGAAGAAGCAAATATCATGGTCAACGAAAGCAACTCACTCGGTACAGTGGCAGAGCTTCTAAGGAAGTCTGAGTGGCTAAGGATGCTACGTGTAACCTTGGGTATATCATCATATGCAATAGAAACCAATCTCGTGTCTTTCTTCGATGCAGTTGTAAAGTCCAAGCTCCACTCCCTATCTCTTAATTGTGAGTTTAGTAATGATGAAATGGTTTCCCTACTTGTGGATTCATGTGCGAAGCTCACTGCTCCATCAGTAAATAAATCTGAGCCCCCAAGATTTGAGCTCGTACTATTTTATCTTCCTCTCAGGCGAGTTCCACCTGATATGGACTCACTCTCGAGCCTTACCCACTTGCACATTCAACTTGAACAAGCAAAAGCAGGAGATTTCCATGTTCTTGGGGGCTTGAGTAATCTAGTTCTTTTCAACTTGTATGCAAGGAAATATTTACTCCAAGGAAGGTTGGTCATCAATAAGGGTATCTTTCCATGTCTGAAGGTGTTTTCCTTCATAATCCAAGATAGTTGGACGGGTCTGGAGTTCAAAGAGGGAGCCATGCCACAGCTTCAAAGGCTTTGGCGTACCCTCGGAATAATAAAAGCAGGGGATCAATTTGAATATCCGGATATTGGCATGGAGCACCTCACTTGCCTCACAAGAGTCCATGTGGAGGTCAGTTGCGCATATGTTACTTATTTGCAGGTGGAGGCTGCAGAAGCTGTCATCAGAGCACAAATATCTGAGCCCACATTAGTATTGAGCAGATTCAATGGAACTCTGATGAAGGGAGAAGAGCAACACTCACTAGAAGATGAATACCCAATGTGGAAGGGTAAAGGGCAACACTCACAAGGCCAGATGTGGAAGGGTAAAGGAGAACAGTACTCCAGTATTCCATCTGAAAGACAACTATTGGAGAGGATGAGGAAAAACAGCTTACAATAACTGAAAAAAGTATCTGAAGATAAGATGGAGAAGTACAAAGGGCAACAAGTCATTAACCCTAGAAAATTATCTGAGAAGACCGGCAAACACAAATTTGAATTGGGCCCAGTATCTGAAGACAAGATGAAGAAGGGCGAAGGGCAACAATTCATTGACCGGCAAACACGTATTTAAATTGAGCCCAGTATCTGAAGAGAAGGTGAAGAAGGACAGAAGGTCTCCAGCTAGCTATGCTGGACGATGCAGTCACTGTGAGATGAAACCTTTGCACTGATGTTCGTTGACTCATTGTGGTGCACTGGACATGATATTAGATGTTTGTTTAATTTTCCTAACTAGTGATGTCTACCAATTTTGTAAATTTTTTTATTTTCCCTTTTTCTATTTTTCTGTTTCTTAATAAAAAATTAAACATTTCTCGTGATATTTGATAAAATTGTGTTCATGTATTTTTAAAAATATGTATCATGCAACTAGAATATGTTCAAGGTTATTTAAAAATATTCATCATGCAATTAGGAAAACTAGTCGTCAACCCGTGTGCTTGCACGGGCTAGGTTCTTATACACGCGTTACATAAACTCTGATAGGAGCTATAACTCGATAATAGAGATTGTACTTCTTTTATGAGTTTGCAGTGATGTGAATGTTCCTATATGCTTGACAATTTATGCTACTTTTTGTTAGTTGTGTGTATATGACCAATTACTTTTGCCATGTGGCCATGAAAGTATCACTTTGCTCCCCATTATGGCTTTGACCCAGCGATCAAGTCTTCTCTGAGCACACATGTGCGTCTACGTCCTGCGACATGGAGGCCACATTAGGCAACAAAAAACCCAGCCAACATTTGCAATACTCCCTGAGGACTGAACATCTCAAAGAAGGCATTAGCAAAGATCATGAACAACAATCACGCAAAAGAGTTCAAATCAATCGGTTGACATTAGCAAAGATCATCCGGTCCACGATGGATCAGATGCTCAGGTTTTTCGCCGTGCCAACTGGCTAATTAACCAGCTTTTCTGTTTTTCCTTTCTCTTATTAGAGGCTAACAATGTGGATCGGCTAATGAACTGGCACTATCGCCACGCCACGACTTGATCACGCCATCCCACGATCATCACGGCTTGGCCTAACTAAAACCTTGCAAAACCTCCTTCAAAAACAATCCCACGCAAAACCCTCTCGGCCACAGCATGGACAAAGCACATCTCTGGCCCGACTAACACATCTCTAACACAAATGCATGTTAGGCCTACCACCTAATGTAGCCCATAACGGAAAAACAAACAGCTCCCAGGCGACGTGGTTAACACAACATCGCTTTGCTTTCTTGGACGTGGTTCTTCGAGCTTTGTTGGTGGGATTGTTGTTCGTTTGTGTCCTAATTGCTTCATCGGATATCGTGCCGTTTGCTCATCTCATTCGTTGTAGGATGAAGAACAGCACCCTCAAGAATTTGAATGTAATTTTTCAGTTTCACTACTAGAAAAAAGGCTATAGTTAATATGGACATTAATGACGCATCATGTTTATGATGCGCCACTGCTATATAGCAGTGGCGCACCATGTGCAGGTACGCCATTAGTGTCCATATCACTAATGGCGCACCACACACACGGTGCGCCACTACTAACATTTTTTTTTCAAAATTAGTAATGGCGCACCACACCTTCTGTGTGTCACTACTAACAATTTTTTTATTTTTTTTACAAAACTAGTAATGGCGCACCAGAACAGCGGTACGCCACTACTAACAATTTTTTTTATTTTTTTTCAAAACTATTAATGGCGCATCACATACCAGGTGCGCCATTAGTAACCGGGGTTACTAATGGCGCATTCTTAGGAGGTGCGCCATTGGTAACCTGGGACTAGCTAGATATTTTGGACAGCCACCTACCATACTCACTTTCCCCACTTCATTCTCTTCACCTCCTCCTCCAAGCTTGGTCTTGGCTGCCTCCTCCTCACCTCATTTGCACCATAGATTCATCCAAATTAAGTGGTTAAATTTCCTTTTTTTGATAGGTAAGTAAGGGGAAAGTTTTCTTTATGTTGTAGATCTACTTTTTTCTCCCTCCAACAACGTGCACACACACTTTTTATGGCCTAGATCTACGTATGTTTGTGGTGTTGCATATGTTTGTGGTGTTGCATATGTTTGTGTTTGGAGGTACCAGTATTTGAAATGCGATAGTTGCCACTATTTTGCCGGAATGTTGATTCATTTCCGTTTCGGCGAGAATTTGGCATTCTTTTGTGTCCTATTTTTAGGCAAAGTCATGCCAAATTTTTTTGGGTTGTAAAATATCGTTTTGCTCTACCCCGCAGGCAACCATGGTCCGCACGATGACCGAAGGCATCGTGAATAGGTTTTTGAGCTCCGTGAAGGCTGAGATGCTTCAAAAGAACGAGACGGAGATAAGATGTCCGTGTCGAAGATGCAAGCTGAAGAGTCTTATGGACCCGGATTCCGTAAAGGTGCGGGACCACCTGCTCTTGCGTGGTTTCATGGATGGCTATCAGTGGCAAGGTGATGAAGATGATTATGAAGTCGTCCATGGGGGCCGGGCAAGAAATGAGAAAGGGCAGCAAGACAACCGCGGCGAGGGCGGGCGAGAAGACGAAGAATCTCTAGGACATGATCACGAAGGAGATGTAGTACACAGTCATCATGTAGAAGATGTCGGACATGATGATGAGGAAGATCAAGACGAAGGGAATGATCATGAAGATGAAGATGCCGGAGCAGACGGCGATGGACCATCGATGGGCTGGGTGCAGGACCCTCATATTAAAGAGCTGCTTCTCAAGCAGACAGATAATGCAAGAGCTGCCGCCCGAGGGAAAGCCAAGCTGGATCAACTGGAGATAGACGCGGTCACTCCACTGTATGAAGGATGCAAGCCCGAGGATACCCGCCTGAAAGTAACGCTCATGGCTCTAGACATGAAGGTAAAACACAAAATGACCGACGCATGCTTCAACGAGAACATGTCATTCTGGCACGAATGTCTTCCCAAGGGGAGCAAGTGCCCGATCAGTTTTGAGGACGCGAAGAAAATCGTGTGTCCTCTGGATTTACCGCATGTGAAATACCATGTGTGCATGAACAATTGCATCATTCATCGGGACGAGCACGCGGAGTCTACCATATGTACGGTGTGTGGCGTCACTCGATACAAGAAGAGGAAGAAAGCTCCTTGAAAAGTGGTGTGGTACTTTCCGATCACTCCTCGTCTGTAGCGGTATTTCGCGGACCCTAAGGTAGCAAAGCTCCTGCGTTGGCACACGGATAGGGAGGCTAAGAAGCGAGAAGATGACGGAAATGATCCAGAGATAAATAAAAAAGACAAGATGCTGAGTCACCCTAAGGATGCGAGCCAGTGGCAAGTGTTGAACTTTGAACACCCATAATTTTGGGACGATCCAAGGAACATCGTGCTGGGCGCGAGCACCGATGGAGTCAATCCGTTTGGCAGCCAGAGAAGCACACATAGCACCTGGCCTGTGTTTGTGTGGATGTACAACCTTCCCCCCTGGTTGTGCATGAAGAGGAAGTACATTCACATGAGTATGCTAATTGAAGGGCTGAAACAACCAGAGAACGACATCAATCTGTATCTGGGGCTACTGAAAGAGGAGCTAGACACGCTGTGGAAAACGCCAGCCAATACCTGGGATGCCGCAGAGAAATAATATTTCCCTATGAGAGCCGCACTGCTCACGACAGTGCACGACTATCTCGGTTACGGATATGTCGCGGGGAGGTGGTCCACTGATTTTCTGGATGCGTTAGGTGCATGGATGACACAACGTATAGCCGGCTAGATAGAGATCCTGGGTCTTCGAAAACTGTGTTCGTGGGGCATCGAAGGTGGCTTCGCGACGATGACTCATGTAGAAAACGCAAGGATCTGTTCGATGGTGAAACCGAACCCTGAAGACGCCCGCGTACGAGGAGTGGCGAGGAAATAGACGAGCTGTTGAAAAATTGGAAAGAGTGCCCTCCGCCGGGAAAGGCGCCAGAGCCGGGAAAGAAGCGAAAGGCGCAAGAGCCACTGCTGAAGGTATGGAAAACGAGGTGTGTTTTCTAGAACTTGCCATACTGGAAGATCCTCCGTGTGCCTCACAGCCTTGATGTCATGCATATCACGAAGAACGTGTGCGAGAGTCTGCTTGGTACCTTGCTCAACATGCCAGAGAGGACCAAAGATGGGCCGAAAGCAAGGACAAACTTGAAATCAATGGGCATCAGGGAGGAGCTTCACGCTAATGATGATGATGATGATGATGATGATGAGGCGAAGGGCATGGTAAGCCGTCGCAAAGGCAAAAAGGCCAAGAAGATCAGAAATGACTGCCCTCCCGCGTGCTTCACTCTAAGTCAGGAGGAGATCGAGCAGTTTTTCACCTGCCTCGTAGGAGTAAAACTTCCTTACGGTTACGCGGGAAGATAAGCAGATACCTAGACTCAGCGAAGCAGAAGTTCAGCGGAATGAAGTCTCACGACTGTCACGTGCTGAGATGCAGATACTTCCAGTTGCAATCCGTGGGATCATGGACGCACACGTCCATGAAACGCTATTTGGCCTATGCAACTTTTTTGACGTCATCTCTCAGAAGTCGGTTGGCGTGAGGCAACTCAGAAGGCTACAGGAAGAGATCGTGGTGATACTATGCGAGCTTGAGATGTATTTCCCGCCCGCATTCTTCGATGTTATGGTGCATCTGCAGGTCCATATTGTGGAGGATATCATCCAACTCGGGGCGATGTTCCTGCACAACATGATGCCGTTTGAAAGGATGAATGATGTCATCAAAGGATACGTTCTCAACATGTCATGTCCAGAGGGAAGCATAGCCAAGGGCTTTCTGACCAAAGAGTGCATCTCCTACTGCACGAATTATCTAGGCATCAAGAACCCCGTTGGTCTGCCCATCAACAAGCACCTCGGCAGGCTCGCTGGATGGGGTCACCGCGAGGGTCGCCA